GTCGCCATCACGTGCCGAATCAGGGGGGAAGATGGGGGGAGGGGTCCGATCGACCCCTCACACGTTAGTGACTGTGAAAACGCCGATACGTTGTCATGTAAAAAGTCAATTTTGCTCAAACGTTTATCCAAAGTGTAGTGATTGAAATAAGGAAGGCCTTTTCTCCACGCGTTTTCATAATCCCTGCCGACAGTGACATTCATGGCCGCGGCGACATCAGACAAATAGGTAATCCGCTTCGGCATATGACATGACAGCGACTGTTTCGACCGTGTCAGAATTTGGGTCACGTGTTCGCCATCCGTAACCAGGAGCCAACCTCAATGGCACGGATCCGCCCAAATCGGCTGCACATGTGGGGGTGAGGAAGGCAGCGCGAGTGAAGCTAACCGGCGCCAACGCCGACATGACGCCTGTCATAGGAAACGCGTCAGCAGTCAGCAGACGGCCCTGTCACAAAAACACATCCTACAGGCTGAAGTGGGCGCTTAGCGCACACTTCACCACTTGCGAGCAAATCCCACACAAAAGAACACGTTCTAACATTCAACACAAACACACCTGCGGGCTGCGAACCTTTGCCATTTGCTTATGGTGCAGGTGAAGGGGGTCAAATGTGTGATGGCGGCTAAATCAAAGGCTGTGAAAACTACGCAAATAACAGGACTGAAAGAAAATATCAGTAAAATGTTTACCAATAACAGAGCATTCGAATATACCTACTGCGGGCGACAGGTGGCCGTTGGTACTATCCCAAACTCAGTTTTAGAAGACCACGGGTCAAGAAAATTCCAATCAAGATTATTGACGCGATTAATAAGATTATTGAAGTGGCCATCCCACCTTAACCCTCGCCGACACAGGCCATTTTGCATCCATCGACGGCACAAGGGGGGGGGGGTGCAACCCCCTCGCGTTTGGCCCCTAATTGCGCTAGATCCTCGCGGAAAAAAACCATCATGTGAAGCAACGGTACCCAGTTTTAAGGTTATAGGTCAAATAGTGACCACTGACCTCTGAGTCAATGACCCAAAAGTCGGGTAAATTGGGACCTGTTAAAAGTTAAAACGTAGTAAAATGTAGCTGATCAAGGGGTTTTCGGGGTGCTGATCACGAATATCATGCAAGCTTTGATCACAGATGCTGTCTTCGTGCATTTAGGCCAGGTCGAGTCAGGTCAGGTCAGGTCAACCAGTAGGGGTCCTGCCGGGTATTCGTAGTAGGTGTCAACCGCCTCTGACAGCTTCGTAACATGTTACGAAGGCAGCAAAACTACTTCGTTCAAGTTCAACTGGTTGCTAAATTCGAAACCAGCTCCAAAAATAGCCTAGAAACATGTAAATCTCGATAAAAAGTGAGCCGAGTTAATCGTTATCTGAAATATGGAACTGAAACGTCACGTTAATCGTTATCTGATGTCAAGGTCACCTGACCTTCAGGTGACCTTGACATCCACCCTAATGCATGGGACCAATGGGATGGGTAGGTAATGGGGCCCAGGCGCGGATACAAGGGGGGGCCATGGGGGCCATGGCCCCCCCCCTTGGCCGATTTTTTTCAAAAATAAAATAAAAAGTTAAAAAGCTGAAAAGGGGGCCTCCTGAAAATAAAGTGGCCGAAATCCGATGAGTTTTTTTTTAACCTACCCACTTAGTTATTTCTTAGAAGACTAGCTGAGAAGACTTCTTTGTTAGAAGATTGGTAAAGCTTTTCATAACTTGGAGGTCTCTTATACTCACAGAGATGACCACTTTTACAGGGCCTCCTAACCTGCACAGAGGGCCTCCAAGCCTGCACAATTGTCCTAACAAACACAAAATCTCTTAGCCTACACAGAGGCCTCCACTCGCATCCGAACAAAGGGCCTCCTAGCCAACACAGAGGGCCTCCTAACTCACACAGAAGGTCTCCTATCCTGCACAGAGGGACTCCAAGCCTGCACAGATATCCTCTTCGCCAACACAGGACCTCTTAATCTCCACAGAGGGCCTCCACTCGCATCCACACAAAGGGTCTCCAAGTCTGTACTGAGGGCCTGCGCTCGCATCTGCACAGAGGGCCTCCTAGCTATCACAGAGGGCTTCCTAGTTCACATACAAGGCCTCCTAGCAGGGGCGGATCCAGGGGGCGATAGGGACTATAGCGCCCCCCCGGGCGACTTTCTCATTTTCTTTTTTTTTTTCAAAAAAAGCATGATAGGGGGCCCCCAAAAATAAAGTGGACGAAATCCAGGCTTAAACTTTTGGGGGTAGGTAGGGCCCCCATCGATGGGGGGCCCCCGATTCGGAATAGCCCCTCCCTTGGCAAAATGCTGGACTCCGCCCCTGATGGGGCCAGGCATCATTCAGATGCTAGTGTTGATCAGGATGAAAGGTATGTGCTGCCGAATTTGGGCGAAATAGAAAGGATCGTTGATTTTTCTATTGTCGTCGACTCAACTCGGGAAACTACGTCATTAGATGCCTTGCAAAATCCCGCTGGGTTGGTGAATGGGGTGTTATGATCTGACTTTACGGTGATTTTCAGCCAAGTCGAAGGGTAATGATTGAATGAGGACTTAACTCCACAAGAAATCGTTCGGGTCGGAGCTTTCGAATTGTAGTACAAAGCTTCGTCAGCGAATCGCAATCGGGTTCGGGGGTATCGGTCGCAAACGAAGCTTTGTAATACCTACAATTCGAAAGCTCCGACACGAACGATTTCTTGTGGAGTTAAAGGGACCCTCCCACCTTAACATTAGATTTGAGTTGAGATAGCCAAAATGGGGTCCCTGGCTCACCATTACCGGTTTCGGCACTCACAACATCGAGAAATGCCTTAAATCGGAAATATTGAATTTCAAAATTGCAGCATTTTGATTCAGAGGGGCTAATGCATAGGAATACCTACCCCTCTGAATGTGTGACGTCATCGCAGATATCTAACGATTTTTAAATGTTTGACTAAAACGTTTTGTAGCACGCGATGGTATATGCTGCTTTGCGCGCAACAAATGCCGCACTTTCAAATAAAGTCGCTAGGAACAGCGGAGATCCCAAAAAGTAAACACAAGTAAAAGTCTAATATCTTGAAAACCGGTGAATATTTTTCGATGAAATTTGGTAGATATTCGTTTTTGCTCTTTCTGAACCGAGCGACATCACTTTCATGCCAATTCATTAACTTTTTTTGAAGGTGGGAGGGTCCCTTTAACCCGCGCCCTGGTGGGGTCTGTTTATAACGCGACCTGGTGGGGGGGGGGCTATTTTTTGCCCCCCCCCCCCGTATCTCCGAAACTACTGGACGGATCCGCAAAATTCAAACGGCGTTCGATAGCCCTGTCAAATTTGTCAAGGGAAACCAAATTTTATTGACCTCGGGGTCACCGATGACGTCACAGGTCAGGTCAAAGATAAAATGTTTCACCGTTCACGGGGCTTCTAGGGAAAGCGCTATAACACCGAGTAAAACGCATTTTGTCGAAAATCAGCGATAAGACGTCAGTTGTCTAGTACATATGTTGCTATTAGAGGTCACTGGTCATACCAGGTCAGGTCACAGGTCAGGTCACCAAAGGTTACCAAGGGTCACCACATGAACCCAACTTTACTAAGGTTGTGCGATGCATGTTTTATGGCCAGTTTTTCATTTCCAACCCAATGGTGTTGGTTATAAGACCATCAGGTACGGTTTAGGTCACTTTCTGGTGGAGGTCAGGTCAAGGTCAGGTCAAAAAAGGTCAAATTTCAAAGTTGATATTTTTGCATAAAAAGGGTATCGATTCGATGCAGCTCGTCACGGGGAGTCTAATGGTGGTCTTTGTTTTGCACTACGAGGTCTAGAATTGCTAAAAATTGAGTTTGAAAATTTGACGTCATCAATTTTGAACAGTTTTTTCGCTATAACTTCGCCAAAAAGAGGTATCAATCTAAAATTTGATATGTGGATGGAAGGCGGTAAGGACTAGCACATATATTCCGGTTTTTGCGAAATTCAAAAAACTTTTTGGATTTTTTGACTATTATATCCCAAAAATCTATTTTTTGATTTTTGGGGGTCAAAATAAAAAAAATTCAAAAATCCGAGATAGCAGCTTTGTAGCCCTGTCAATTCTACAGCTTTTATGTCCTAAACATTTTTCTGTATTTGCAAAGCTATAGGCCTGACAGCTCTTCCCGCGAAACCCTTTTTTGGGTCGAAAACGGCAGAACATGACGTCACTCTGACGTCATTTCCGGCCAACCTATCATAGCTTTTGGAAAATTTTTTTGGTCACAATGTGTAAAATTGATGTCCGGGAGGGTACTGAAAGTTTGGTGACGATCGGCGCAGCGGTTCTGGAGATATATCGAAAAGTCTGGAGGGGGGGGGGGGGCAAAAAATAGCCCCCCCCCACCAGGTCGCGGGTTAGTCCTCATTCAATTATTACATTAGCGAGCTCCACATCATGTGCTTTAGTGAAAGTCGAAGAGGTCGTCGAATCTGAATATCTGCTGAATGCATAAATATAAGTAGAACTGAGGCCTCTTGCACCAAAATCCTCTTGCACCAATGCATGGATTATTTTGCATCGTATACCCAATCCAAGACTCAAATGTGACAATTTGCGTGTAAAATTTACCAAGCACCTGTAGGATTATGCATTGGGCTATTGCAAACAAATTTACTACCGTTTGATTATCTTATTCTGAAACCGGTTTTTCGATTTTACCTAACTAGGTAGTTTGGTGCAAGAGGCCTCTGCTCACATTTTCACAATTAATTTTAATTTGGTTGGGCGAATATTGTCACGCATTGCGAATTACAGCCCAATGGTCTGTGACTTTTCGGTATTATATCAACGAATGAGAATGCATGTTACAACTAACACAATCATATAGATGACCCTTCGACGTTACTTAAAAAAAGCGTATAACTATATCAGGCGAAAACTCTGGTGGTGGAGCGAAATCTCTGGTGGTGGAGCGAAATCTCTTTTGAAAAATGGACCAGTCCAATCTTCCATAATGGTCAACCACGGCATCTCTTTTAATTATATTATCGAACCGGCAATACGAGAGTAGCAGCGACAAAACACAAGAGACAGTGTGCCGCCCCTGTCGGCAGCAGTGCGGCCGGACCGTTTATCTTGTCCCGGTCGGCCTCAGCGGACAGCCGGCTTCCGAGGCACCCGCCGACCGCATCAGAAACACGCACCGACCGTGTCAGAAACACGCACCGCTCGGGGAGAGGCCGTGGGGAGATCACATGGCCTCGTCCGAGTCCGAGTCCTCCTCCAGCGCTGCCTTGGCGTACCGCTCGGCGGCCTCGTGCACGTCCTGTGGGCCGGGGGAGGGGTGTCACCACAGCGCTGGATAGCCATAGATCACACACTGACAACAGAGAGCCGTCTGTTATCCGCAATGGAAGTACGCAATCCAGGCCGGGGAGGGGCGGCACCACTCAGCGTACAGCTCACAGAGCCGATAAAAACACCATAGAGCCGCCTCCTGACCGGAGGAGCTCCGGCAGACAGCAGACTCACCTTGGGCACGAGCTGGTGGCGACCGCCAGTGTGCTCGCCCACCCAGCTCAGCTCCAGCTCGAACTCCTTGTCCTTGACCTCGTCGTGAATGACGTAGATAATTTTGGCAGCTTCCTTGATCAATTCGGCGCAGGTCAGCTCTGAGGTTTTGAGCTTTTCGATTTCGGTCTTGGCCGACTGGCGCGCCTTGCCGATGGAGCAGCCGTAGTAGCCCTGTGGCACACAGAGAACGTGTCACAAAATCCGAGAGTATGCCGGTAAACTCCAAGTGGCATCGTACAGCAGACAGAAGATAGCTCTGCGCCGCGTACAGGGAGCAGCTGCGAGAGTCGATAAACGCCGCAAACAAGAAATTAAAATGCTTCTAAAAGCTAGACACATGGAAAACAGTATTAGCGAATTATATATCAATCTCAGTAGAGACTACTAAGTAGCTCAATGAAATTCATGCCTAATATAAATGAGGTAAGTGGGCAATGGGTATTCCTTCCATCGCACTGAATGTGACCTTGTAATTCTCTACATCACACATGCCACCCGGTCGGCGGTTACTCACGAAATGCACGCCCGAGGGGTCCGCCATGAAGAGTTCGGGCCCGTCCTCGCCGTAGGCGGCCATCATAACGCTGCATCCGAACGGGCGCACGAACGAGTACAGAGTGTAGGCATGCAGGTACATGCCGAGCCGGTCGGCCAGGTGGCGGACCGGGATCGGCGCGCTGTAGTCGGCCCGGTAGTTGGACGCCTCAGTGCGCGCCGTCTCAGCGAGAGCGCGCGCGTCGGCAATCAGCCCGGCCACCGCCTACGCGGGGGACGAAATAACTGAGCTGAGAGGCAGGTACAACAATCCAACAGAGGGATGAACCATTGACAGATTCATTCGATAGGGGAGGAAGGAAATACAAATGACAGCACCAGTGCAGACGAGACAAAGCCAACAGAACAGGAACGTACCAATCCCACGTGGCGATCCACTGTGAAGATGCGTTTGTTGGTTGACTGCTCAAACAGTTTGGATGTGATGATCTTCTCAACTGCAAACACAACACCATCCTTGCCACGCAGACCTATAACAGTGCTGTGGGTACACAGATCAGTTGTCAGCCAGTCTATTGAACATTCTGTATATGCAGTTCATTATTTTACCCATGCACTGTGCTTCCATGCCTATTTCATATCCATTTATCTACAACCCTGTCAGATTAGATATCTCTTGTTATTATCTGGGAGAAGTGATATGATACCTAGCAAACAAAAACTTATCACAATAAACTTATCTGCATTTGGGTTTTTACCTTTACCAATAAATGAGCACCAAGGGTATTGTACTCTAACCATTGTACTCTAACATTCCTAACTGTGTGTTCATTATTTATTCAAACTAAAAGTTTAAATGAGTAAATGACAAAACAAGGAAAAAAGACAAAACAAAGCTGACTCACCCACTGTTTTCCACAGCTTTCTGGGCATATTCTACTTGGAACACTCTGCCATCTGGTGAGAATTGTGATGCTGAGAGATCATACTGGAAAATGCAGAAAACTCAGTCAAATGATGCACAGTTTTTCATATACACTACAAAGTTGAAAAGGCAGTTATACCTGCCCTTAGCTAAAATCTTTAATATTTTCAGCTGATACCTATTCATTATGAGTTGGCGTAAGGATATCATCATCTTGGATTAAAAACAACTACTTGCTAAGACAATTAATGACATTGCTGAAGCACAAAACCATACAGCATTCTACATAATATTCTGGCATTTCAAATGATGTCACTCAATATTTACTGAAGAAATTTCACCATAACTTGATAAGAATATCACATGCAAGAGCCCATTCTCTATGGCACAATACACATATCACAGTTCCAATTAGGTTTCCATGGTTTCATCAACAGACTCAGGTGCTCTAGAACATTGAGGCTATCTGACATTGTTAATGACTGATGTTTCCATGGATACCCAAAAGCGAGATATGCACACTGTTGTGTCATGCAGTTAAACAAAGCTAGTATGTATGTATTTATGTATGTGTGTATGTATGTATGTATGTATGTATGTATGTATGTATGTATGTATGCATGTATGTATGCATGAATGTATTTACGATCGTGGGCGATCCACACATCAACATGGCATGGCGATTACTGCCGCAATGTGTGATAGCAGCAGACAAGGTCTACTGGACAAGATATAATTAAATAGGCTCTTGCAGCAATTTCCTGCCTGCTGACAGAGCCTGTTTCTGCCTTAATATCTTAATTAATATGATAACAGATAACAATAATAAAAAATAAAAACACTTTTGCACCTACCCCTGTGCCAATGGAGCTCATGATGAAGAGCAAGGAATACAATGGCAATGAAAGCGACCAGTGTATCAATGAAGGTGGAATACAGCAGGTTTGGTTACTTTCACCTACTACCTGGAAAGAAATAAAATATTTAATGCAAAAAATGAACTGCGAGTTCGCCGTATACGCAGGAAACACCGGCAACCACGAAGTGCATGAATCAACAAAATTGACAAAATAATGTTCGATAGTTCCATTTCCAGATGAGTAAGCTATGAAGAGACCAATGGAACACCGTTCGAAAATCTGTTGCTAGGCAATCACACAATAAGGATGCGAATAGCACTAACAGCATGCTTCCTTGAACATAGCTAACTAAAAAATCGCAGCACTAGGAATGAAACACCTGCGCATTTTATGTCACCTAATAGTGATGGGCAAGTACTTGCAGCTGCCGCTTTTAGAGATCCAGTATGTATTGTTCCCTTTGCTTTGATAATTTTGGCATTTTGTTTAGCTTTTCGTCCATAAAATGCGGGATCTGCTGTAACCTGACATTTTCTCGCGGTTTCAAGCGGCCACGCATGGGCCACGCCGAGAAGACGCCGACCGGCGCCCATTTTCTACAAAACAATCGCCATTTCGCGTCGCTAACGCCTACAACGTTTCAAAGTAAATTTGACTAGTGTTTGCTTAGGGAGTGACCCAATATCTGACGTCATAAAACCTAGTAAATTGACTAAAAAATGCCTTAGTTTTCAGATATTACAATGCACATGTTGATGATTCTTAGCAGTAACAATCGCTTTTGCAATATATTGAAATACTTTTAAGTTTTTGGGGAATATTTTAACACTAACTCATTTATCCTGAGAACCTTGACCAATCAGCTGCATAGACTGTTGTGACGTATTCAGTATGAAATCTACTTTCCCTTTTTCGATGCTCACTTTCTCTTGAGGGCACGCGGTGCGGAGAGGAAGACAATCGCGAATTGGTCGGATTACATTTATTGAATTATTTTTACTAATTGCAGGTTCTGTGTTTAATCTTTGTGAATCTAATAATCTGTAAAAGATGAGTGTGGACCCGACTAAAATGAAGGTCGCCGAGCTTAAGGCGGAACTAGAGGAGAGGGGACTAGACACGAAGGGCCTCAAGGCTGTGTTGGTGAAACGACTGCAGGAAGCCTTGGACAACGAAGCTTTGGCAGATGATGGTGAGTACCTTTGAAGATTGCATGATATATCAAGTGGTGGCAGTTTGGGAAATTAATGCTGCTAAGTTATGTTGATACTCCAGTCTGAAAAATGTGGAAGCAAGCTCTAAGAGGTGTTTCCACAGTGTTTCTCGACAGTTTCCTCGACAGTGTTCACCCATGCCATATACTGTGCTGATAAATATTTCCATTGATTAATGTGTCCCAGCCCTCAGGCACCTAATGCTGATCGTTGCAGTGTGCTGTGCCAGGGGTGTTTTCTTGATTGGTGACCGTGGCGTGTGCTGAGGGGGTGGAATCTCTGACAACGGCTCCAGGGACAATTTAATCAAAGATCTTGAAATTAGTGTGACCTTATCATGTGTTAATTAGGGAGTTAAATGCATCAAGAGGGAGAATGTTCCAATAATCACATGACTTAAAATGCTCTCTGGCACCCTATTTTCAGATTCCACCTCAGTAGGCGGAACTATGGTCAAGCGTACCCATTTTCGGGAACGCATTTTCGTTCCCATTTTTGGGAACGATAAACCCAAATATGGGAACGCCATGTAGGCATTATTTAAAACAAGAAAAAGAGCCGTTAAATGACGTCCAAAAAATATTAAATGATTGTGAACCGCCTGATATTTGTCTCAATATTGTTGGGAAAGAGTTCGATATTGTAAGGCCCATCGTAGTTTCAAATCGTTCCCCTATTTCTAAAGCAGTCCATCATCCGGGCCGCGAGCCCAAATTTGGGAACGCTCTCGTACACTGGCGCTGCAAGCGTTCCTTATTATGGGAACGGCGTACCCAAAATTGGGAACGATTTCACCGACGCCTTTCATGGGCTCTTTTCATTAACAAGCATCACGTCCAACGCCGCAAATTATTGTTAACGCAACAATCATCAGATGACCTTTCCGGCAAGACCGTCGCATGTTTCGCCCGGTCTTCTGCGCTTTTATTTCAGTCGATCTTGCAGCGGGCACGCCCCCCTCTGCAGGATTACGTAATTCACAACGCTCAGCGATGTTCAACAAGGTCTTCCATACCTATATCCACCGTCCGCGCCGAGGGTGGAGACATGTCAAGCACCTGTCTGTTTATCACCGATAGTTAACGAGCACAAGGAAGTATCCAAAAATGGGAACGCTGAACATGTTACACCCTCAAAACACCTAGTCCCAATGAAAATCTAGTTTTTTCCTTTCTTGATGAGTGTAAGTGGCAAAAGGCCTGGTAGGATGGGCACGAGGAATGATCGAAATCAGCATAAAAATTATAAATAAGTCACAGAGCGACCTATATAAGAGAAATTCCCCCAAAACGATCATGCTTAGAAACACGGAAGACAAAAACCACGCTCATGACGCTCCTTATAAAACAACGCTAAACAGCTAGCATCCAAATAAAATATGTCTTTCCGGGATGATAAAATACAGCTGAATAATTTTCGACCACTTAAACTGAGTTTACAACAGTAGTTTGGTAAACTCACTGGCGTTCCACGCGGTCGTCCGCCCCGACACCAAATGTCAACAATATTACCCCGGGATTGTCCGCGTGTTCGCTTGCATATGTCAGCATCTGGTGTCGCTAGTATGAAACTTCATAACCAGGCGAAAATTATTATACTTGACCTCAAAATGTAAAAAACGCTTCATTTTCCTTAAAATTGCAAGTTAAATGTAGTATAACCCATGTTTTCACCATTCCGTCATTTCAAAAATTCATTAAAAATATCATTCGACGGTCAATTTCCTTGTTCAACGGTCAGATTAAAGATAATTTTATAGAGAATTAGTAGATACTTAAATTAGCGTGCACTTTTTTGAGACGCGATGCACTAATGAGTTTTAGCGGGCGAACGGCCGAAAAATTACCTTCCGTTCTCATAAATGGGAACGCCCGTTCCCATATTTGGGAACTCCGTTCCCAAAAATGGGAACGTTCCTATATTTGGGTACTCATGACCATAGTTCCACCTACTGACCTGCTGCGGCCTGCAGGTACCCACCTACCTTTCATTGGTCGGTGCTGTGTCAGTGTGCTATGCTGAGGCACCTTTCATTCAGTGTTGTGTGTTATGAGCAGGTTGTGGAGTCAATGGATTTTCTTGTGACTGACTGCAACCAAAGATTAAGTTACTCCGGCTCTGACTCCGGGCCAGTCTTCAAGACGTGGCAGTGTTTGACTAGACTTTCGGGCACAGGAAAATCCAGGCTGAAAAATACATTTTATGCTGAAAACCAGCTTATGCTGGGATGGCGCCCAAAATTTCAGCTCACATTCGGCGTATTTTCACACGTGCCAAATTCAGCGCATGCCGGCCGCTGAAATTTTCGAATTTCGCCGAATGGCGGCCACCGAATTTTTCGACACGCTGGTCAATCTAGCAGCAGATTCGCCCTGCGGGCGGCTCTGGAGAGGGTTTGGGGTGAGATGTGCCCAGCCCTGGTCATCGCTGCTCCGACAGTTGTCGTTGTTTTCCCTCTGCTCAGTCGAGCGTAGCCGATCGGAGGGACTTGGCAGCGGCCGTCAGGGCCATCACCACGTCGTCGTCTCGCAGGTTTTTCAGGTGTGGGTATATAGTGGGAGCGGGTGCCGCAGTGGAAGCGGACCCACTGCAGATGGGCCCGGCGGCCCCGCTCCGCCAGCGTAAGCACTGCAGGGCCTGCAATATTGTGGCACCCAGCCGTGATTGCTGGGCCGCCGGTCCCGCGCGTAGGCAGGGGCGGATCCAGGAAAACTCCAAGGGGAGGGTCATGAATCGAAGTGGTGCCCCTACCTATACCCAAAATTAAAAACTCAACGGATTTCGTCCACTTCATTTTGGTGGTGCCCCCATTTTCAGTTTTTATTTTTATTTTTATTTTTAGTCAGTATCTTAACTCTTAGCCACAACCTCATTTACCAATTGTAAGCAAGTATATATGAATGTGCTATGTGTATATATGTTGTGGACGCTGAGTAGTGAGTACTTACTAGGAACCTTATCAGGTAAGCAAATCGTTGTCAGTCCGACGAACTTGACCCTGGAGTCTAAAGGGTCTGTCCTTGACACTTCAGGCTTGTCAGGGGCACCAAAGTCCTTCCAGGGACACCACAAACCTGTCAGGGGCACCTACGGCCTTGTAGGGGCGCCACAGGCCCGCCAGGGGCACCACAGGCCTGCCAGGAAGCAGGGGCACCACAGGTCTAGCAAGTATACACGACAGGCCTGTCAGGGGCACAACGGGCCTGTTGGGCCCATGAGCACCCCTAGGGGCAGGGGCACCACAGTCCTTCCAGGGGCACCGCAGGCCTGTGAGGGGCACCAGCGGCCTAGCAGGGGCACCAGTCAACACAGGCCTGCCAGGGGCACCACAGACCTGCCAGGGGCACCAGAGGCCTGCCAGGAGCAGCACCGACCTCGCAGGGGTAACTTGGGCCTGTCAGGGCCCAGGGGCACCACGGGCCTGTCGAGAGGCACTTCAGGCTTTTCAGGGGCACCATAGTCCTCTCCGGGCGCAGGGGTAGCAGGGGCACCAGAGGCCTGCCAGGGGCACTACAGGCCTAGCAAGGGCACCACTGGTCTAGCAGGGGCACCACGAGCCTGTCATAGCCAGGCATCTCAGGCTTGTCAAGGCCCAGGGGCACCACAGGTCTGTGAGGGGCACCAGCGACCTAGCAGGGGCACCAGTCAACACAGGTCTGCCAGGGGCGCCACAGACCTGCCAGGGGCACCACAGACCTGCCAGGGGCACCAGAGGTCTGCCAGGGGCACCACCGGCCTCGCAGGGGCACCTTGGGCCTGTCAGGGGCACCACTGGCTTGCCGAGGGGCACTTCAGACTTTTCAGGGGCACCAGTCCTCTCCGGGAGCAGGGGTACCAGCGGCCTAGCAAGGGCACCAGAGGCCTGCCAGGGGCACCAGCGGCCTAGCAAGGGCACCACTGGCCTGTCAGGGGCACCTCAGGCTTGTCAGGGCCCAGGGGCACCACAGTCCTTCCAGGGGCATTACAAGCCTGTCAGGGGCACCAGAGGCCTAGCAAGGGCACCACAGGCCTGTCATGGACACCACAGGCCTGCCAGGGGCACCACCGGCCTTGCAGGGGCGCCTCAGG